TCCATTTTAAGCAGAAAACTTTTATTATTGACAAATTCTTCTTGGTTCACTGAAGAACTTTGATGGATTAAATAGTATTTGATCTTAGAACCCGTCTACCACAGCTTAGTGCATCTATGAAGGTAACATCCAATGCAGTCATGATGTGACCTGTTGGCTGGTGGAGCAGTTGGTCACCTTCAGACTAATGAATCATACATCAGATCAAGGAAGTTATCTAAAGGCACTAGTGGACCAATCAACATCCAGAACAGAGTTCAAGAGGCTGAGCTCCTCATCCTCCCTCCTTTATAGATGAGCAGCTCTGCCATCCTGGAGACACTCAGAGAAAAGCTGCTTCTCCTCCATATTAGGAGTTGGTTGAGGAGGCCGATGCTTCCATAGGGAGGAACGCCTCAGACTTCCTTAGAGGAGCAGGAGGAGGTGTCAGGGGGATAGAATACTGGGAATCTCTGCTTTAACTACTCCCCATGTGACCCGGTCCCAGTTAAGCAGCGTTCATCTGTTTCCTCTCCAGCTCCATCCATTACCAGAAACTCCATCATGAACCGTGATGGATTTAAAATTAAAATCCTAAAGCGGTTCTAAATTCTTCAGACAAAGTGTTTCCTCTGTTAAAGTCCCTAACCAGTCAGAGGGGATCCAGACCCAGACTTCATCACCTCTGCCTCCATCTGTCATCATTTCAACTCCTCTCCCTCAAAGACCAAGTTAGAACTAGTTTATTTCTACATCAGATCACATCTGCAGGAACCGACCATCTGCTGAACCTTCAGCTGGTTCCACTGAGCTCTGTAGGTAATAAGAAAAGAAACCATGTAGCCAATCAGGTGCAGAGACAGACCTGCTTTATGGCTGATAGTTTATTTTCTACTGATCCAGAATAAACTGGGAGCTATGGGAGCAGAAATAATCAGACCTCTAATGAGAATGAAGGTCTTCAAGTTCATCACAGAAACACTAACTGAATCTGAATCTAAAACCAACTCCAGAAAAATCCCACTGTGCTTCTTCTTCTTCTGAGGTTTTATGGCGGTTGGCAGACTTGTGAGATGTGCATTAGCGCCACCAACTGATATGGAGTAAAGCAAGGAAACAGGAAACGATTCACCCCAGAAACAAAAAAATAAACTGTGTAACTTAACTCAACATAATAAATACTAAATCATATTTGCCCTTATAATTTTAATTTAACTTTAAGTCATCGTCACTTTGCCAGTTTCTGATGGTCGGTTTTCCCATCATGCTTTCAATCATCTCCCAGTTTAAATCTTTAAGTTCCAGATAATTTTCTGCAGCCTTCACTATTATTTAGATTTTTTCGTTTTTTCTTGTCGTCGGTGCACTACAATTAATAACTTCCACCATGAATCGAACAAAATCTCTCTTTATAACAATTAGTGAGTAATCTTCAATTTTTGGACATTTCTCTAGAGGTTTGGAATCTGCCGTGTGTTGAACTGTTGGTTTGTTTTTTCCTGACTGAGATGGGATCCTTTTTGCAGCTTCAGCGTAAGTTATTCCGAGCTCAAATTTCATTTTTTTAAATTCCTCAGACCTTTTGCTCACTTTAAGTATGTTCTCCACCACAGTTACAGCATTTTATTTGAGCTTCTTTTCCACATATTCCGTACTGATGCTCTCCTGCACACCTTCCACACCTCTGTTTTCCTTTACAAACTGCTGCTACTCGACCGAATTTTTGGCATTTGAAACATCTCAAAGGTGGAGGATTGTAAATTTTGACATTATAACTGATGTAACCGATGAATACTTTGCTTGGTAATTGCTATTCCTCGAATTTAATTAACACAGATAAACTGTCAGATCTTTCTCCGTTTCTTGTTGTTTTTAATCATTTTACTTCTTTTACTTTTGCACCGCTTATGTTTTCTAGAATCTCTTTTTCAGAAACTCTTAGAGGAACTCCTCCAATGACTCCCCTGCTGATCTTTTTGTTCTCCATTAAGCTGCACTGAACTCTTATCCCGTCAGTTTTGTTGATCTGAATGGCTTTGCCTTGCTGGGCGCTGTCTCTGCAGTTTATTAGCAGGTCTCCACTGTACAGAATTCTGGCACCTCTGACTTCTCCAACAAGTTTTTTTATGGCTTTTGTTAAGTGAACCGGATTCCAATTTGTAAAAGAGTCTGCCTGATTAACGACTTTGTACTCATTTTGTTTTGCTGTGGAATGTATGGATTGATCATCACTTGATTGTTCTAAACTGGATTCCCCTTTAACTGATCTCTGCTTTTTCTCATTTTTTGATGTTGCTATCATCCAACCTTCTTTGTCACCATTTCCCTCTTCCATCCCACAAGAATCGCTTCCTGTTTCCTCACTACTCACGGACCAGGACATTTCTCCACAAGCGACTTCAAAACACGCGCCATGCACCAAACGACCATCCACCATGAGACTGGACTATTTTCTCATCCCACTTTCTTTCATTATTCTTCCTTTATGGAATGAAATTATCTTGGGGTCACTAACCTGTCCTCCACTCTTCACCTGCATTAACTCCACCTGCTGGAAACACGTTATTTGAATAAAGGACACCTGTCCACTTAGACTCCAACTTGTCCATCATCATCAGACCAAAGAGCTGTGAGGAACCAGAGATAGTAGACCTGTTACAGGATGACAGTTCAGCAGCCCGGTGAGAGGAAAACATCTGCTGGGAGAAATTCTAGATGAGCATCAGCTGCATCATCCTAGGGCTCTACAGTCATGGCCAAAAGTTTAGAGAATGATTTAAATGTTAATATTTAGGAAGTCTACTGCATCAGATTTTATAACGGCAATTTGCATATACTCCAGAATGTTATAAGAGTGATCAGCGTAACAGCAATTCATTGCAAAGTCAATATTTGCCTAGAAAATGAACTTTATCCCCCAAAACACATTTCAACGTCATTGCAGCCCTGCAGCTAACATGGTTTCAATGATTGCTCCATTTACACAGGTGTGGGTGGTGATGAGGACACGGCTGGAGATCAATCTGTCAGGATTAAGTCAGAATGACACCACTGGACACTTTAAAAAAAAGGCTGGTGCTTGCCATCTTTGTTTCTCTTCTGTGAACCATGGTTATCTCTAAAGAAACACGTACAGTCATCATTGCACTGCACAATAGTGGCCTAACAGGAAAGAGAATGGCAGCTAGAAAGATTGCACCTCAGTCAACAATCTATGGCATCATCAAGAACTTCAAGGAGAGAGGTTCCATTGTTGCCATAAAGGCTCCAGGGCGCCTAAAAAAGACCAGCAAGCGCATAGCCTCGTGAGACCATCATGATCTCGCGAGCTTTCAAGATTTCACTCACTAATCAGTCTGGAGACTCTCCGTTGAAGAAAATTTGGAGCCATTCACCAAACGAACGTCCAATCAGCGTTGGCTTTGAGGGCGGGTTGAGGTGTGACGCAACGACAAGCGCAACAGTTCAGTCTAAAGAACATGGCGGCTTCAGCCGATGAAACTAGCTGTAGCGTGGCTACCTAGCAAGTTTTATCAGAATTAAACTGTATTTCTTCACTGAAAGAAGAGCAAAACATTGCTCTGGAGACTTTTCTCAGAGGAAAATATGTTTTTGCTCTTCTCCCGACTGGTTTTGGCAAGAGTTTGATCTATCAATTGGCTCCTCTTCGTTGTCGCTCTGTTACGTCATATGCTTCGTTGATCTGATTGGTTTATTTGGCCCGTCTATCACCAACATAGGCCAATCAGCTAACCAGTACTTTCGCCCCTTCCCAAAATTACTTCTACGGAAGGTTTCCAGATGGATATGCAGAGCAAATCCATCTGGGGGAGTCAGGTTAGCAAGAGCCAGGACCGTCTCTTAAAAGTGTTTCAGCTGCAGGATCGGGCTGCCAGCGGTGCAGAGCTTGCTCAGGAATGGCAGCGGGCAGGTGTGAGTGCATCTGCACGCACTGTGAGGCGGAGACTCTTGGAGCAAGGCCTGGTCTCAAGGAGGGCAGCAAAGAAGCCACTTCTCTCCAGGAAAAACATCAGGGGCAGACTGATATTCTGCTAAAGGTACAGGGAGTGGACTGCTGAGGACTGGGGAAAAGTCATTTTCTCTCATCAATCCTCTTTCCCATTGTTTGGGACATCTGGAAAACAGCTTGTTGGGAGAAGACGAGGTGAGCGCTACCACCAGTCTGGTCTCATGCCAACTGTAAAGCCTCCTGAAACCATTCATGTGTGGGGTTGCTTCTCAGCCAAGGGAGTCGGCTCTCTCACAGTCTGACCTAAAAACACAGCCATGAATAAAGAATGGTATCAGAATGCCCTCCGAAATCAACTTCTTCCAACCGTCCAAGAGCAGTTTGGTGATGAACAATGCCTTTTCCAGCATGATGGAGCACCTTACATAAAGCAAAGGTGACTCCGACTTTCAGTGTCGTTGTGTCCTTGGGCAAGACACTTCACCTGCATTGTCTACTGATGGTGGTCAGGGGGCCCGGTGGCGCCAGTGTATGGCAGCCCCGCTTCTGTCAGTGAGCCCCAGGGCAGCTGTGCACATGCCATTTACCATTTACCATATCTAACTAGCTCAGAGAACAAAACATAAGAGATTTTGGGTCCATGGCCTGGAAACACCCCTGATCTTAATCCCATTGAAAACTTGTGGTCAATCATCAAGAGACGGGTGGGCAAACGAAAACCTAGGAATTCTGACAAAATGCAGGCATTGATTGGGCAAGAATGGACTGCTATCAGTCAGGATTTGGTCCAGAAGTTGATTGAGAGCAGCCAGGGAGAAAAACAACATGGCTGAGCTCATCTGATTAACAATTTCTTTCCCAGACAGAACCAGCTATGAAACTAGCTTACATTACCTTTTCTAAAATATTAAGTATTTATAGACCAGTGCTTCATGTTCCTTTTGTATGTCCGCTTCTATCTTATTGAACCCCAGTCAGTCTCATTCGATGGCCGCTCACACTGAGCCTGGTTCTGCTGGAGGTTTGTTCCTGTAAAAAGGGATTTTTTCCCCTCCACTGTCCCTGCATGCATCGTCTGTGTAAAGGATTGCTGTACAGTAAATGGTACAATGCAAGTAACGTCTGTGGTCCCCAAATCCTCATCCAGGAGGAGGAAATCCTCAAAAGTTATTGATTTAACTGTTTTTCTTCAGATAGAGACGTTTTTAATCTGACTGGTTCTGGTTGAATTGTCCCTGTAAGGTGCTGTAAATGTTGTCTTTTGAATTGGCGCTGTATGACTGGCGACCTGTCCAGGGTGTACCCCGCCTCTCACCCATTAAGAATTGGAGATAGGCATCAGCACCCCTCATGACCCCAGCAGTTATAATCATGACGGAAAATGGATGGAGGGAATCTAAATTAAATTCCACTCTGCGTTTAGGAAATCCACAAATTTTTCTAATAAATAACATTCCTTCATACTTTTAAGAGATTTAGTGGATAATTGGAGTTGAAAGTATAAAAAAAACAACAGCAGGAAATTAATGAACGTGAAGTCATCTCTTATTGGAAGACCGATGTTAAAGTTTGTTGGATGTTCATCACAAGTAGAGTAGACGTCATCTGAGTAAGGAAAACAAAGTAGATCCTACATCACTATATGATAAACAGACTTTCCATATGTCCCACTGTGTGTTACTGTCCTTCGAACATCAGCATACATGAGGTGACATTAAATACGCTAATGCTGTTGCTACCAATAGAAGGGCCACCTGCAGTAGGTTAACGAAGTGTCCAATGTTCTCCTGGTATCAATGGGCCCAGAAGAACCGCCTGAAGGTTCAGTTTAGTTTAACTCATTCAGCACAGGATCAGAAAACCAGATGTTTTCACTCTGCGGGTCAGACCCTGTGGGAATGCTTCTTGTGGCACAGCAAGTGGCTGGATTGTCTGAAGGTTCTCCCACACAGTTTGCAGGAATACGGCTTCTCCCCCGTGTGTGTCCTCATGTGGTAGCTCAGCCCCGTCCCTCGACTGAAGGTTTTGTGACACACTTTGCAGGTAAACGGCTTCTCTCCTGTGTGAATCCTCATGTGGATGTTCATAGCGCTCCTCCTGACGAAGCCCTTCCCGCACACTCTGCAGGGGTAGGGCTTTTCCCCTGTGTGAGTTCTGACGTGACAGGTCAGGGTGTTGCTCTGGCTGAAGCGCTTGTGACAGATATGGCAGGAGAAAGGCTTCTCCCCCGTGTGCCGCCTCAGGTGGCGCAGCAGGTGACTGTTCAAGCCGAACTTTTCCCCGCAGATCTTACAGGAGAAGGGCTTCTCACCGGTGTGCGTAATCATATGGCGGAAGGCACTGTCCCGCCGGGCAAAGCGCCGCGTACACAGCTCACAGGAGTAAGGCTTCTCGTTCTGGTGCGTGTCTCGGTGGTCGTGCAGCAGCAACATGTTGGGGAACTTTTTGCCACAAGTCTTACAAACAAAGGGTTTGGGTTCATTCGAGTCTTCGGACTGCTGCGAACTGCTTGGTTCTGGTTCACTCTGCTCCCCTTCATCATAGTTAACGGTCACCATGAAGAAGTCTGTCTCTGGTCTCTGTCCAGCGAGACTGGAGCCCACTTCTTCCTGCTCCTCTTTAATCTGCAGAAACCCTGGTTTCTTTGAATCCACACTGAGGATCTTTTCGGGCTCAGTTGGAACGTCTTCCCGATAAACATGGTTCTGTTCTGTTTCATGGAAAACAAAAAAGAATCAGAAAAAAGTAAGTTAGTCCACAGAGCTAAACCATAAAAAATCAACAATGGAGTCTCAGCTGTTTCTGCACTAATGGGTCGACTAGGAGGAGCTCAGGTCTGGTCAGTCTCCACCAATCAGAACACTGACAAACTGGATCTGCTCCTCCTCAGCTTTGGTTATCTGAGTGTCTGCTGAGTTTTACAAGAGGTCCAGATATATTCCTAGTATAAACTAAAGGAATCCGAACCACTGCCAAGATTTGTTCCTTCACAGAACCACAAACAACTATCTGTGGTTTCTTGCGTCTGTAAGCCCAGAGTAGACTATCGTTTGTCGTATCAACTTTCCAAAAGCCGACTCTGTCAAGTAATTCACCAAAGGCTGACTTCTTCGCCTGACTCTCCACAATCTTCCTGAATGTTGCAGGTGCCGCCATGTTGGCTTGCTTTTTTTACCTCTAGAGAGAAGTAATACCATAGATTGCCACTAGGAGACGAGGAATCATGCTAGTGTGGTGTGTAAATGGTCATAAGGAACCCAGCTTGGCAAAGGTAGCTTTTAAATGGGGCTTTTATTTTGTCTCTCTTCCTGTCAGACCCATGAAATTGCCGGTGAATTGCTGCATAGTCCGACCGAAACAGACCTGGGGTCTACCTCAGTCAGAGCTACGCAGCCCTCTGCAGAGAATCATGTCAGGTGCGATCATCTCCACTGACTCTCAATGAGCGCTAAAACGCCACTACTTTGTCCAATAAGATTTCCTGTCAGATTGGAAGCAAAATAAGTTGCAATGTTTTCTGGGGTTCACACCGTTTTAGGGGCAGAAAGACAAGCAGCTGAATGGAAACTTTTGGGAACTTCTAGCCTACTTCATGCTATCAGTCAGGTTCTGCTTGTGCCAAATTGAACACACCAATGAAGGGTTTGGTTACTTTCTCCTTCTAGGATTAGACTGGTTTAGAGGTGGTTTCCTCAAATAAAGTCATGGTTGATCCTGGTTCTGTTGGTTTTCCTTGCCTAAACAGGTAAACACTATTTCCCAACCCTAAACGACCCATTTCCTCTAGAGATTAAGAACCCAAAATAATTTTGCTGGTCCAAATTAAACCAGAACCAACAGTTGAACCTAAATATAGACTTAACACACCTGAACGGCTCCAGTGAGGCCCTTAATAATCTGGATTAAATGGGTTCAGATTAAGGCAGTGGGCTAGTCTCTGTTCCAGACCCTTTGGGTCATTCGGACCATTGCAGTGTTTCGTACCTGGTATTTGGACGTTTGCCGGGTCGTTTTCAGAACTCCCCGATGGTCCTGCGCTAGTGGACTTTCTATGTCGCGGCACAAAGGTATCAAACTCCTTCCTAAGCAGCAGACCCTCATCGTCATGTCGGGTCCAGAACTCCACTTTTCTGGATTTATTCTGGGGAGATTCTGGGTCTTCTGACTCCGGGTCATCTTCTGGTTCCAGGACTTCTGGTTCCTCCAGGTCCTCCTCGGTGTCCAGGTACTCCAACTCGCCCAAGTCGTCTATAATCTGTGGACATCCTGGTTCTGACAGGGCCTCTTCGATGTCAAAAGGTCCTAACTCGTCCAGGTCGTCTATGATCTGCGGACTGTCTGGCTCCGCCAGGGTCTGGTCCATTTGCAGAGGTTCTGGTCCAAACTGTTCATCTCCATTCTGAGGAGATTCTGAATCATCCAAAGCTCCTTCTCCCTTCAAAGGTTCTGGCTGCGGCTGAGCCTCTTCAGTCTGTGGAGGTTCTGGTTCTGTGAAGTTCTGTGTGAACTCAGGGGGATACAGCTCCACTTCCTCCTCTTTAATGCGTGGAGGTTCTGGTTCCACCTTGTCCTGAACACAGAGACTCCCATAGTTGGTCAGAACCTCTTCCTTATAAACCCATCTGGGAGGAAGTCCTGAGGAGACAGAGAATATCATCATCATGATGGCGAACCAAAAGATGTTCTGAACTTCAGAACCACCAACAATGGAACACCAGGATTAGTCTGTGTTCTGATAACTGAATCTGTTTCTGACTGATGGGTTCATACAGAACAATAATGAGTTCAGTCCAAACAGACTGAGTCCAGTTCCACCAACAAAACGGTATCAGAACCTACCTGTAACACCTACGGCCATAGGGTGGCAGTAACGTGGGTTTGCTGAGTGGCACCGGACCTCTAGTTTCTGTGACCCGACCCGCCTAAAGCACCAACTTTATGTGGCTTTATAAATATCGGACATCGGCCACCCCACCGATATTTAACCCGATATTTGATCAGCTTCTGAGTTTCTAAAGTCAAAAAAAAAAAAAATACTACTTCTTCTTCTTCCTCAAAAACCTCTTTTTACAGACTTAAAAACTTCTAAAGACGAGGGAAAAAATATTGATACATTAAAATATCACAATATATTCATATGCTGATATATTGCCATTTAAAAACAACATATCAATCTCTTTTACTAATGAAATATTGCTATATGTCATCGTTATGCTACGAAATCCCCCGAAAACTCACAAAATTTTGCCATCTTTTTATATGTTGATATATTGACATGGTATCGATCTATTTTACTAACAAAATCTCACAAGAATTTGCAAAATATCACGAGAGTTTGTAACAGAACGATGAAATTTCACCAGATTTTGAAAGTAAAATAGATCGATACCGCGTTTTTTTCAAAATCAATTTGATATCAGCATATGAAAATATATTTTTGAATATATTATTTTTCAAAGTGTCAGAAATGGATAACAAAACTTCTATTTTCAATGACTACTTATTTTTGTCCAGCTTTAACATCGGTATCGATATCGGTTATCGGTAGGGATGGAGATCGTTAATTTTTATTGATATCGATACCTTTATCGATACTCCTTATCGATCCGAGTCTCTATCGATACCACTATCGATACTTTTCTGTTATTTGGTGGAAAGACGATGCAACAATATGTTTTTAACAGAACTGGTATCGCTTTTATTGCTTAACAAGTGAGCATAACAAAAATGTTTCTAGCCTTCAATAAACATGGCTAATGTAATAGGCCACTTCGAAATGACATAAAACTAACTAGAATATATCAGCAGCACCAAATGAAAAATAAAATGTCATAATGTATATAAATTAAATAAATAATATGCTGTGTCACACAAAAGGAAATAAAATATCAGCTCATAAATTAACAGGTGTTTGTTTTTTTTAAGAAAAATTAACATGTCTGTCACTTTTCATCATGTTTTTAGCAGCAGGAAGAGGAGGAGTCTTTTCAACCCAGAGACAGTCGAAGGTGCTGCATTTGGCCTTTATTTGATGCACAATACTAATGTGCTTGGCCATTGAGGTTGTGTTCCCCCCTTTAAAAGAAATGATTTTGCAACATAATCTGCATTTCGCTTCTTCTTTATCTTTGAGCTTGGCCAAACTTTAGACCTTTTCGTCCGTTCAGCCATCCTCGAGTCGCGAGCGAAGTTAACTGCCAGACTTCACTGGTTTTAGTTTTAATATCTGTTTGCTTACAATTTCATTCCAAAACATTGGTGGACATGCTGCTGCTACATGAGTTTTAAAATATCGGCATATCGGATATCGGCCAATATATATATATATATATATATATATATATATATATATATATATATATATATATATATATATATATATATATATATATATATATATATACACACATCAGGGGTTGACGTTAAGGATTGTTACCTTACTTGCCCAAAGGGCAAGTGACTTTCACATTTCATTTGCCCAGAAACTATTTTAACTTGCCCAGTATAATGTTTGATAAATATAGTTCCTAATATTCATTTTTGTATATATATCAGTGAAACATGTTTGTTTTTTGTAATTTAGTATTTTTTAAGTTTACAGGTTCCTGGTGTGTATATGCATGCATTAACATTACTGTGTTAACATGCTTTTCAATCCTTCCTGCATAATCTTTTCAAACTAAACTTTGCTTTAAACTGTTGTGTGCTTGGAAAAATATAAATTGTAATGTTAAAAATCTAAAAAAAACTTGACAGGTTAAAAACTTAAGATAAATCACAAGTCAAGTCAATGTCACAAATGAATAACTTTTATTTTAGAGTCACGGTATGTTTATTCAAGATGATACTATTAATATAATATAAATCTTTTCTAGAGAATCATTATACATAGTTATTTTATTCAGGGTTTCCACAGTCTGACATCATTTCAGAATTCCCTGACTTTTAACTGACTCAGGATTAGTTTTCCCTGACAAAATAAATGCAGCAACAAGACAATAATAAGAACATAACAGGTCACAAATCTAACATGTTTAGCTCTATAACATTTAAATGCACCTCTCCAATGTCGAAGAGAAAAAATGTAATGAACATTTTTTAATGTATGACCTGCATCACTGTACAGAAGGCTGCCATATGATAGCCATATTTACACTGTGCACATGGCATACAATTATGCCAATTTTCCTAATCCCTGACTGAAAATTTTTAATCTAGGTTATCTGGGTGGTGGGTGAAATGGGTGGAGGGTAAAATAGGTGGTGGGTGTGTTACTGTACATACATTTTTTTGCCTTGTTGTTGTTTTTTAGCCTGCTAAGTCAAAAAAAATGTGTCTGATTCACGCCAATTCCCGGACAAAAATCATGCCATCTGGCGGAAAATCACGCGGCTTTTCCAAATCATGCGAGAATGTGTACAAAACAACAAAAATCGCGCCGGCAACACTTCTGGGTCTTTTTCATTGAATGTCAGTGATTTTAAAAAGGGTTCCTACTAGGGCTGCAACAACGAATCGATAAAAATTGATAGAAATCGACTTTTAAAAGCATTGGCAACGAATTTCATCATCGATTATTTGTGTCGCGCGATTAATGCGTCATCCACCGCCGCCGTCATCACTGCCACTTGACTGAAACGGGGGAAGAAAAAAAAATTACGGCAGAGCGAGCCAGCGCTGCAGCTTTGTCGCTATATTTAGCGACTTTTCAGACCCCTCCCGCGACTATTTAAAAAAAAAAAAGCGACTAGCGACAAATCTGGCGACTTTTTACGGTGTCACTGGCGGCTTTTGGAGACTCTTACGTGAAAGCATGTATCGTTCCTACTCTGCCGTGTTGCGCCTCCCCCATCCCAACCCTGTTCTCCCGCAGGAGTCCCTCTCAGCGCTGCAGTCAGAGCCGCAGGATGTTACCTTCAGCGTCCAGACTGCAAATGAAGCGCGCATGCGCCAGGATTGACGGCGCAAATTGATCACAATAATTAAAATAGCCTTTATAAATAAATTAACTTGCAAACTATGAGGGCAAGGCTTTTCAAGTTTAAAGCTTCTGGCAAAGATAAAGTAAAGAAGATCCTGAAATTTATGGAAGTAAAGCAGAATAAAATCCAGCAAGATCAGGAATATGTCAATTAATTATCTGCCACATTCCCATGTAAATATCTGTCTTTAGAGGATGTGTTTTTTACCACCCCTAGTTCTCTCATTTTTATTCCAAATACAATTTATAATTTGAACCACAGGGCTATTTTTATCTCTATGGTTCAGTATTTTCTCAAGTAGCAACTTTAACTGCTATACTTTCCTGTCTTAAAAGGCAGAACTCTTCTAGTCTAAAAAAACTCATTTGTTGAAATTGTTTGAACCCCTTAGGGGCTTTTAAAACAAAAATGTCTTTTTTTGCGCTTTATGAAACAAAGTAGCCTATATTTTGTGGATGTACAGCTACATTTCTCATGTAAGTTTGCGTAGTTTTACAAAAACATTTATTTTTCATATTGCACCAGTACAGTTAATGAGCAACCTGTACTTGTGTGCTTGTTTGTTCTGTCTAAAATGTTTATTTTGGAATAAAGAGGTTAATATAAAAAATATTTTTTGTCCGATTCATTGATTACTCGAAAAAATAATCGGCCGATTCATCGATTTTTAAAATAATCGTTAGTTGCAGCCCTAGTTCCTACAGCATAAGGCAAGTTAAATTCAAGGCTTTTTAAGACTTTTTAATGCCACTTGAAATAAAAATGTAAGACCAAATTCACAAGAAACAGAAGAAAAACCTGCTTGCGACAACTTAACCCAAAGGTTTATTTTAACATAAAGCACTGCACTAATGTTTCAAATTTTGAAAAGCTTCCCATACAGGAAGAAAGCTAAAAACACACAAATGACAGATATATTTGAACAATTATTTAACTGAATTCACAAACTTTGTTTTAGCAGGGAACAAAACAAATCAGTTTTAAAGCCCCAACATAACCAGTGCTAAGTCTTTTTGCAGCTATTTTTCTTTGTATGGTTTTCTTAGTATGTTTGATTTGGTGATAAGTGGAGGCGTTGCAGAGACAAGGGTGGAACTAAACTGAGAAATACCGCCTGTTTCTCTGTAACTCCATTTTGACGCTTTGTGTTTCGTGCTTCGCGTGTGCGACTCCACTGCCTTAATTCCCATCGTTCTGAGCTTGAATGACTTCTTGCATAAATCCCCTGAGCCTCATGTATGTTCCCTGGTTTTAGCCATGGAGAAAACTCTTGGCTGGAGACTATTTTGGTTACATTTACACTTGCTCATATTTATGTTCATGGCGCATCTCCCAAATGTCCCGGCCGCAACAACGCTTTTATTGGTTCCGCTTTCGGGACGGAACCAATAATGGCGAGCCGTTAATTTTTTTTTTTATAATAAAAAAATTATTTATATTACAAAAATAAATCGTAATAAAAATAATCCTATTTATGATGTTTTAAAAATTAAGACCTATGATAGACTAATTTAAGACATTTTAATACCAATTAAGGCCTTAATTTTATTTTAAAGAATTCAATGCCTTTTAAGACTTTTTAAGGACCCGCGGGAACCCTGTAAAGTAATTTTGAGTGATAAATACATTTTTTTTTTTGTGATTATTGAACTTGCCGGGCGGGCAAACCTCTTCTATCACCTAAAGAAGAACCAGGAAAAAGAATACATAAGGATCCAAAAAGTGCGAGGTAAAGCAAGTTGTGAAACAGCGAGAGGAAGTTGCAAAAATAAAAACCATAGCCAGCCAAAGATAACGGAGTCGTTAGCAGGATGCATCCCGTATGAGAAAACTTTTAATCGCCATACACAAATGACAGTTGCCATCGCACATTACATATGTAAAGGCATGGTCCCCATGTATGACGTTGAGAAGGAGAGCTTCCGAGAGCTTGTCAAAGTCCTTGACCCGGGGTATGTTATGCCCAGTCGCAAGCACTTCAGCCAAGTTGAGTTGCCTCGCTTATATGACGCATGCCAGGCCAAAGCAGAGAAGGAGGGTTGCAGCGTGGTGCATTATGCCTTGAAAAGCAGGGTGACGCAGCCCTATATGAGTGTAACCATCCATTTCATCAGTGAAGGCTGGACCCTCTGCGCTCGCCATTTACAGACTGCCTACATTCCAGATGACCACACAGGAGCCATGTTAGCCCAAGGTATGTTACTTCAGCAGTAGTTTGTATCATTGTGTTACTGCTGCATATTTATTCTATTGATAATATATATATATAAATAAAAGCATTTATCTATCTAGGTCTCAGAGATACACTGCAGTCATTGGTAGGGATGGGGATCGAAACCCGGTTCTATCAAGGACCCGGTTCCACTTTTTTCAAAACCCGAAAATCAATAACGTTTGGGCTTATCGATACCACTATCGAGTCTGGTCGTTTTTTTTTTTTTCTCCCGGAGGTCCTGTAACATAATTGTGTGTCCCTCGAGTCGCGTCACAGCATTTAAATCTAATCAATCCAATCACTGCAGCATGTCCACCAATGTTTTGGAATGAAATTGTAAGCAAACAGATATTAAAAGTAAAACCAGTGAAGTCTGGCAGTTAACTTCGCTCGTGACTCGAGGATGGCTGAACAGACGAAAAGGTCTAAAGTTTGGCTTCACTTTACCAAGCTCAAAGATAAAGAAGAAGCGAAATGCAGCGTATGTTGCAAAAATCATCTCTTTTAAAGGGGGGAACATAACCTCAATGGCCAAGCACATTAGTATTGTGCATCAAATAAAGGCCAAATGCAGCACCTTCGACTGTCTCCGGGTTGAAAAGACTCCTCCTCCTCCTCCTCCTGCCGCCGCACCACAGTCGGGCCTGTCTTCATCATCCACTCAGAGTACCACTGCTAAGCGCGCACACAGACTTTGTAGCTTGTCCGGTCAGTTAAAAATAGTAATTGTGAAATCCGTGTTGTAATCGGCAGCATACAAGCTAGTTAGCTTGAAAAGTAAATAAAGTTTCAGACGTGCTGCGTGATGATGTGTTCAGATTGGCTCAGTAAAACGACAATTAGGTTATCATGAGGCGTTCAAGTGTAACGTAAAGAAAAGGGAAATTGAGTTTTTGGTGAGAAACATCAGTAATATAGTTGTATATTGCTCTAATTATTTTAGAATATATAATTAAACTACTGATGCCAACATTTATTAAAAAATACATTTAATTTAAAATACAATTATTTATTTGCTAAATATTTTCCTAATCACTAAAAACATGATGAAAAGTGACAGTAGACAATACATTAACCAACAATTGTGAAAATGTATATATTTTTTTAAACCAAAAGAAGAGATTTCTTCAAATAGTTTTTTTCCCACTTCATTTCTGTCTGTTAAAAACATATTGTCGCATCGTCTCTCCACCAAATAACAGAAAAGTATCGATAGTGGTATCGATAAAGACTCGGATCGATAAGGAGTATCGATAAAGGTATCGATATCAATAAATATTAACGATCCTCATCCCTAGTCATGGGGGCTGCAAGAAAGCCACCTAGTCGGTGTCACCACAGATAATGCCACTAACAATATCACTGCAATGGAACTGGATGAATGGTTAGTCTCTAGCTAGCTACTGGTAAGTCTAATTTAAGTGTAATTTAAGTGTAATTTAGTACGAGCATGAGTGCATCACTGAGGGAGCGTGTCTGTTTTTCCTGTGTATTATGTTATCTGTGTACTTCTTGAGCTGGTTTCTTTCTCAAATAATATCACCATGGTAACAACTGGTGACAATGACAATTCTTAATTAAACTGACAACAAAATATTAGTGAAATGGAACTTGGTTTGGTTTTCCTGTTTTATGTTTGATCAGCCTACACACAACACATTAATACTAACCAGGGTTTCTCCCAGATAATGGATCCTGGCTGTGGGTGTCGTAATGGATGACGGGAGTTGTGTGCAGATTTAATTTGATTTTATTATAAAATAAATAAATGTTTATATCATAAAATTCACATTTCTGTTATTAAATTACACTCATCTTTTATTGAAACAGAGAACGCATTGAAAGCTCTCAGACCAGCATCTACAGAGCAGGCTGTGGAAGGGGTCTGTAAATAGGTGGTGAGCGTGTTCTCCAACTCGTGGAAGAGAAAACGTGAGTTGGCCAAGGCTCAAGCTGTGCCCGGCTTGCCTCCCCGTCAGCTCATCACTGAAACCCCCACAGAATGGGGTTCACAGCAGCAGATGATCCACAGGTTCCTAGAGCAGGAGAAAGCTCTGTCACAGCTAAGGCTGGGTAAAAAAATCGATTTTGAATCGATTCCTTTACATTTTTGCAGAATCGATGTCTAGGGAATTAAATTGATTAATTTTATAGTGACGCACGTTACCTTCACAATCAAATGAGCAGGAAAGATGCACTCAAGATGACTTCAAGCCAGACAGCTGCAAATACAGCCAATAGGTTGACTGAAGACATTAACCAATGGAGGCAGAGCAGCAAACACCCTGTAGTTACAGACAACGCTGCAAATATGGTTTGTGTAGTGGAGATAATGCAGCATGAATGTCTGCTGTGTCACGTCTGTTTGCTCGAGTGAGGATTCACTTTTTCACTTTTCACAAACAAGTTCGCACAAATGAGACAGTTTTGTTCACATCTCAAGCTTAAACTGTCCGATTTACAAGTTTGCACTTTGTGTTTAATGTGACAGGAAAAAATAAAATACATGAGTATTCTGAAACACAGATGAACCGCTTTCATTATTGTAAAAACAGATCGAATCGAAATTAATCGATTTAGAACTGTATGAATAAAAATCGAATCGATTCATCACTTTGGCGAAAACACCCAGCCCTAGTCACAGCTCCTTCTTGCAGACAAGAAGGTGAGACGTGGAAACTGGACATTGCACACTGATTCCTTGGATTATGATCATGTTTGCAGCCTAGATTCACTTCCTGATGAAAGTAACCTATTTCTTTTAATATCTTAGTTAGGCAAGAAGTCTGGTGCCAAGATGGCAAGTTATGATGGTACTAGCGTCCATGAACAAGGCACCGGGTCCCCTCTTGGAGTTTATTGATGCTTTATTGGGGGGAAGTACGTCACCGTCTCTTTTCTAAAGCCGGTACTGCATCTCTTCATCAACGAAATACCCAGCCAGAAAGAAGGGGACACAGAGCTCTAAAAAGCAATCAGAAAGGGTATCCTTAAGTACCTGAATGAAAAGCATAATGACTGTACCACCAACTAGACATTTCGGTTTAAGACAGCATACATAAAGGAAGACAGGGTGGAGTTCATAAAGATGAGAGCTGCAGCAGAGCTGGTGGACATGGCAACGCCGGCACCTGAAAGTACAGAACCAGCAGCCACCTCCATGTCACCAGCAGCTGCTGAAGATTATCCAGACCTTCCTTATCCAACAAAGAAGCAAAGAGTTTGGGGAGTTAATTCAGAAAGGCACCAGGTGCAGGCCAAGGCCCCGCCCTCTCTCAGCCAAGCAGAGCATCCATTGAACTGCAGCTCTCCATGTATCTACAGACGCCTGGGCCTGATTCAGAGGCAGACCCTCTGGGATGGTGGAAACAGCATGAGTCTAACTTCCCATTAGTGGCTCGGCTCGCTGAGTATTTGTGTTTCCTGCTACTAGTTCTTCATCTGAACGGGCCTTCAGTGTGAGTGGGAACATTTTCACATGTGAGAGATCACGTCTTTAGCCGAATACAGTTGACCAACTTGTCTTCCTCACACTCGACCTATAAGGTTTTGACAGAAACGACATTTCTGAGTTGACAATGTATCCGTTTTTATGATGGCTGATGCCATAAACAGTTTACAGTTATATTCAACCCTGATTTATTTAACATTGATCATTTATTTTGCTATTATGGTATGCAAAATTTGCACTACAACGTTACAGATTTCTGAAACTTGAAAAACTATTTTTGTAACTATCTTTTGTACAAAAATGTGTGATTTTCTACTCAGAATCTTAAGAAACTAAGCATTAGTGCACTTTGATTTATTTATTTGGGTAATTTAATTTAAATACCAGTAGGATTTTTGAAAAAATGTGAAGGATACTGTAGCCCTACCTCTGCCTCATCTTATGCATATATATTGCTGCACTACAATTTACTTTTCTAATTTGTGACAATTCTATAAATGTCACTTCAAAATAAAGTTGAAAAAGTGAGCAGGTATATTGTTTTGTCAGATTTTTCAGAGATTTGCTGAAAACGTATTTAACTGCAGCATATTGCGATATATATCGTTATTGTGATATAAAATAGTCCAAATGATTTATTCCATATCGCCCAGAACTAATTATAACAGTCATTAAACCCACATGAATCTGAGCCCTCATTGATTGGGAGGTTAGTCTGGTGTGTTTCTACAGTGGGAACATCTAGTAATGTGGATCTAAGTGAGAGGAACCTCCAGAGATGCAGATGAACATCAGACCTACCGAGCCTCTGCAGCCTGACCTGCGGCTTCAGGCACACAGCTAGCAGCTTGCTCTGGGCGGCCAGCTCCTCCTCCAGGCGGATGATGGTTTTCTCCACCTCGGAGAAGATCTCCTCCGCAGCAGCATCCAGTCTCTGCCTGATAAAGTCTCTGAGAGGAAGAACTGAACCCATTCCTGCAGCTGCTGATCCAAACTGGCCTGAGATCCGACCGGACGGTCCACAAAGCAAGCTAGCTGCTAACAACTGCTCAGCGCTACTTCCGGGGGACCTTAGGGCGACAACTTCCGGACGGATGCGTCAGCGCTGCCGCCATCTTGGTAAGGGAGACGAGCAGCTGGTTGAGCCGCATTTATAGGATTAAAAACCTTAAGTAGAACATTTCACTGTTTTCTACATACATTTTCTATATTTGTGAAACTTGCCTTCTGCCAATAACTGCCTCAATCATTTACCAACACATCATATCTGAGGTTTTTGTCTTCTAAGAAGGGCTGTACCAAAACTTAGCTTGCTTTACCTGACCTTCCACCTTGCTCCTCTCCTTCCCCTTAGACACCGCTCCCTCTCTGGACTGGCAATCCTAAAATAGATTCTATTTAACAAGGTAAATATATACAGTGGTGCTTGAAAGTTACACACTCCCGATAAAGAAAGGATAAATTCACAACAGCAATTCTAATAAGAAACTAGAAAAAATATACATAAAAACATACAAAATTATATTTGATGGATTGAAATAGTGATTCTTGAATTGTGTTTTTATAAACAGTGATTTAACAAACATTCCTAGACACCTTAGAGCACATTGGTCTAGAATATTTCACCAACAGGAGTAGAAATCTGGCTAAACATTGAAGAAAACACCTGATTGAAGTGATTCACTCAAAGTAATGCTCAAAATTTTAGCTTATGAACTCCATGGTGTTGGCTTACTTGTTTTGTTTGTTTATTATTAATATTTCTATTGAACCACAATTACAAAATTAATGACATCATTTTCATCTAATGTTTACTTTTTCACTGGCAGCTTGAATTGAATAAATATTTAATTGGAAAGTATGTATTCTTTTTAGATATATTTTTTTGTTTGTTTTTTATCCAAGTACTGTATAGTTTTAGACTTTTCTGTATTAAATATGTTTTTAATTTTGTAAGTTTTTGGTTGAAGTTTTGAGCACCCAAATGCAGGGGTGAGGAGGCAGAGGTGAGTTCTTATAGCTTTAATGGAGTTATCACAGGTAACAGAGGCAGGAATCCAAAAATCCAACTTAAAAATGCTAAATTCACCAGAACAATGGAGACATCAGGGAAAACTTGCACAAGGAGCCAGGGAAAGACGAGGAACCAGGGAAACACTGGCAGCCAGGGAAAGATGAGGAGCCAGGGAAAGACTAGGAGCCAGGGAAAGACTAGGAACCAGGGAAAGACTAGAAACCAGGGAAAGACTGGGAGCCAGCGAAAGACTAGGAACCAGGGAAAGAATAGGAACCAGGGAAAGAATAGGAACCAGGGAAAGACGAGGAGCCAGGGAAAGACGAGGAGCCAAGGAAAGACGAGGAGCCAGGGAAAGACTAGGAACCAGGGAAAGACTGGGAGCCAGCGAAAGACTGGGAGCCAGGGAAAGACTAGGAACCAGGGAAAGACCGGGAGCCAGGGAAAGACCGGGAGCCAGGGAAAGACTGGTAGCCAGGGAAAGACGAGGAACCAGGGAAAGACTAGGAGCCAGGGAAAGACTAGGAACCAGGGAAAGACTAGAAACCAGGGAAAGACTGGGAGCCAGCGAAAGACTAGGAACCAGGGAAAGACGAGGAACCAGGGAAAGACTAGGAGCCAGGGAAAGACTAGGAACCAGGGAAAGACAGGGAACCAGCACTGAGGAGCTGTACAGGGAGAGCTTATATGGGAGATAGAACAAACACTGGACTAATGAGTTGATTGGGAGCAGGTGTAAAGAGAGGATTCTAGAATGGAGCTATAGAAAAGGGGACCAGCGACAAAGGAAAAACCCAAGAATTCAAATATATCCAGAAAACGCAACAATAGGAATTAAACCAATAAAACTAGAAAACAAAGAAAAACATGGATCAAAGTGAAACTGAATACTCAAAAAAAAGCCCAGACAATATAATATATATAAAAATAAAATTATTAATTTAAGGTAAAATGGTCTAAAACGCCTATGGTTAAAAACATGTTTTAAAAGTCGCCTTGATCGCCCTGTTTTTCAGTGTAGTCCTGTTTCTCTGACTCTGAGCTCATCTGCCTGGCTGTGTGTTTCCTGGACGGGGATGCATTTTACAGTTGCCTTTTGTATCTATGCTTCTTTTTCTATGTCTGCTTCTGTCTCCTTGAACCCCAGTGGGCCTCAGCAGATGGCCGCTCACACTGAGCCTGGTTCTGCTGGAGGTTTCTTCCTGTTCAAAGGGAGTTTTTCCTCTCCACTGTCGCTACAAGCATGCTTAGTGTGAGGGATTGCTGAAGAGTCAATGAGTCGATGCAATCAGCTGGTTTCTTCAGATAGAAAACTTTGAATCAATCTGACTGGATGATCTGGTGAACTGGAAAGTGACCTGAGATGACATGATATGAATTGGAGCTATAGAAATAAACTGAATTGAACTGAGCTAACTCCAGGTAACCTTAGTCTGTTGCTAACATGTTAACGTTAGCAAACCTGACCTACAGGTAGGAGTGAAAAAAACTCAGGTGAGGCAGTGGGCGGAGCTTCCTTCGCATGATGTCACCAATGACGTTTGACACCTGCTTCATTCAGATCAACTCAGCTGACTGCGGCGAGGTGAGAGGCGGAGCTTTGAAGGTTTAGTTCATGTCCCCTTTCTACACGCATTATACGTCAATATCAGCTGGTTTCTGGATATTCAGAGTATTTGGATCATTTCATGGAGCAAAAATCAAGGCAGCGCTACTTAGTGTGTAACTATTTTGATTTTAAGCTACCTAATAAAGAAATGTACATTTAAAGTGTTGAGCTCTGCTACTGAGCAAAAACTACTTTATGCTACTTCTACTATCAAAGGTGGGGCCTTCAGGGCCGCTGTCCTGCAGGGTTAACAGGTTTTCCTGTACTTTATAAATAATATAAAGTTTGTTTATATCTGTGGTAATTTACCTTTTTTCTGTTTAAAAGGTTTATGTGAAGGCTAAAGCTTCTCTCACATGGAAATCAAAATTGAAAGTCTGTGTATTTAGTGAAGAAGGAAACTGGGCCTGAAATAATTAATTAGATTTATCCACTATTGACATTATGGTCAACTGTTTCAGTAATCGATTAATCTTTGACTGCCTTATAGAGACTCGAAAACATGCTTTTAGTTGACAGAGCAATAAACCTTTAGCTTTATTTAACCACAGGTGTAAAAATGTAGCTTTTAAGATTTTATTGCCTTTCCGTTCATCAATATGCTCTATCCAGAACTCCTCAGGTGGAAAAGTTTTAGTTTCATTCTAGAAAATGTCTCCTTTAAATCTTTTATCAATCGATTAATTGAAAAACTAATTGACAGATTAATTGAATAGCAAAATAATCATTAAAAACCTTGACAGTGTGATGGGATAATTCAGCTCAGACTCTATAGTCAGCTGGTATTGTTTGCTTTGATGAACAACAGGCCGTCTCAGAGCTGCAGGCGGCTCGGTGTCTGGATGAGAGGGGCGGATTTTATCATACTGTTTGTTTTATTGTTTCCTTCTACTGTCTGTATCATGCTTTAATTAACTGTATGTGGAGACCTTCACAGCTCTTTGCAGACTTTCAGTTAGAAAACTGTAATTTAAATCCCAATAGGCAGGAAACCTTGGAGAGACTGGATCTGTTCTCGCTCCCACGGATTAATAAAATTGTGTGTTCAATTTATATTAGTGCTGTCAATCGATTAAATTTTTTTTAATCGCGATTAATCGCATCAATGCCTAAGTTCACTCGCGATTAATCGCATTTTAATCACACATTTTTTTTCTGATTGAAAATCATTTAAATACTCTCGATGACATACAAAAAATACATACAGGCTAGGTTTGTGCCAATGTTCTTTTTTTTAATGAAAACAGGTCACAGACACTGATTTATACCATAGAAACATACGGCAAGAAGATGGGGAGGCATGTAGCAAAAAATAACAAATATGTAGCCAAAAAAAAGGCCCTGAAAACAGGCTGATGTAAAAGACAGTCTTTACAGTTAATACAGTCTTTTGAACAAAGACAAGCATTTTACCCTACTGCTATAAAATGCAGTAGAGTTAACATTAGATGTTAATTAACCAAGATAATAATGAACAATTTTCAATCAATACATCAAAATCAATAGACCGACATCACTAGATGGAGGTAGTCTATGCTCTAGAAAGTTACTTTTCAGCTTCTTTACAAAAATGAGAACACACACACACACACACACACACACACACACACACACACACACACACACACACACACACACGCGATACCGACCTGTGGCGTACACAGACATCAAGAGTGCCGTAGCAGATTCCATTTCACCTCAGTAATCTGTTTTCTCAGCGTATTTCAGGTTGCTACTAGTTACCAGACACTCAACTTGTTTGTTGGTGGTGGGGCTTAAAGAAAAGGCACTAGCGCTACCCAGTGTATGAGCGTCTTTTTTCCTTGAGGAGCTCCGCTCTCGAAGCCTATGAGAAATGCATAGACTGGGGGAAAATAGCCCCGCCTTCCCGCAGGCTGCAGCGGGATGTACTTGGAAAATTGTACCATAAAACCACATAGCGTTAATCTCACGTTAAAAAAATTATCGCCATTAAAATGGCCTCGCGTTAACGCGATAACGCGATAATTTTGACAGCACTAATTCTTTTTAGCAATCTGTATATTTGTTGAAGGTCACAAGGGTGTAAGATGACCTTGCAGTAGCTTAGCAGAGCTTCTTAACAGGATAAACATCTGTGCAGAAGCTGGGAGTTTAAAACAGGTGTTTAAACAGTAACAAGCAAGAGCAATTAGTAGTAAAACAGTTACAATGAAACACCTCAATAGGTCATTTCTGTGGAAACCATTGTGTTGTGCAAAACAGTTTCTGTTAATGTTTTGTAACCTCTTTTACGTGTGAAAGTGTTGAGTTGAAGTCTCAGCATTCATCTGTTTCCTCTCCAGCTCCATCCATTATCAGAAACTCCATCATGAACCGTGATGGATTTAAAATTAAAATCCTAAAGCGGTTCTAAATTCTTCAGACAAAGTGTTTCCTCTGTTAAAGTCCCTAACCAGTCAGAGGGGATCCAGACCCAGACTTCATCACCTCTGC